GCCTCCGGTCCCTCACAAGCTGCCTCTGTGCAGACAAACCCAAACAGCTAGAGAACTCGGAATAATGGGATACATGCTGCAAACAATTGTAGGTCCATACATATGCATCATTCCAAGATATAGCCAACGTGGTAAATTTCCAGCACAAGAAGACACATAACTCACCTTATTCTTATCAAGCTTTTGCCTAAAATATAGACTCTTCACATAGACTCTCAAAAATGTAATAGGATCAAGCTAGGAGTGAAATAAGTTTGGGAAATAATGGGATACATGCTGCAAACAATTGTAGGTCCATACATATGCATCATTCCAAGATATAGCCAACGTGGTAAATTTCCAGCACAAGAAGACACATAACTCACCTTATTCTTATCAAGCTTTTGCCTAAAATATAGACTCTTCACATAGACTCTCAAAAATGTAATAGGATCAAGCTAGGAGTGAAATAAGTTTGGGATTTATTTCAGATTTTTTTTTTCTGTTGAAATGACTTTAAAAACTGCATTAACTGGAGCTCTACTCCCCACAGGATAGTTTGTGTCTTGGATCAGACAGGAGCTACTGAAATTCACGGTCTTCCTTCAGATTCCTGGGAATTGTCCTTTGGGGTAACAGTGCTCTCTGCTGGTTCTAGCAAAAGTTAATTCAAATGTCACTATGGCACAAGAGAGGAGATAATAATGGTTGGTCCTAACTGATAGAAATTAGAGAAAGGAACAGCCTGTGATGTCATCCACTGCCAGTTTCCTGAAGGATAGCCCCACATACCTCTTGATTTGCAGCCTAAATGTTCCTTGGCTTAATATAATTTTATTATTTTCAGTTATATCTTACTGAAGGACAACTTACAGGAAGTGTCCATAACTCCTTTCGCGAAAGTGTTACATTTCTGTTGCATTTGTACCACTGCACAGTGAGTTAGTGAGTAGTGTTGAAAGGTTTTGTATTAACTTATAGAGGCAATATGAACCCAAAGATTTAAAGGTCACATGACTCTGTGATTATCTAGCATTAAACAATCTTACTTAGTACTACGGCAAACATCCTAAGAAATTTGTGCTAAATCTTGGAGATTTATGGTTAGGATATGTAACCCCCAAGGAGATTACTTAGATTCCTGGGGCTTTGTCTGCTGGCAGCTCAGGGAGAGGCACTCTGAGTTTGCCTTGGCTTCCCCCCCCTACCAGGGCCAGAGTCTGCCCGGCAACCCATAGGGAGTGAGATGCCCCTTCCAGGGGGAAGGAGAGACCATTGTTGAGGGGAGTCTGGAGCCAGCCAGGAAAAGGGGAGGACTGAGTGTGTGGGAGCTAGTAAGCCCTAGGCCTGCATGCAGGGTTCCCCCTGAGAACTAGCCTCTAGGGACCTGAAGGCAGGATCCCTCAGCTGGGTTTTATTTCTCCACTGTTGATTCCCAGTTTGTGGAGTTTGCTGGGAGGCTTCCCCAGCCAGGCTGAGTTGGCTCTCCCGCTCGCTGGGTGAGACCAGTCACTGCATGGTCAGCGCTGCTCTATCTACAGGTCCTCACAGGCTTTCTGCCACACTCCCTATGGGTTGCCGGGTGGACCCTGACCCTGGTAGGGAGGAAGAGCCAAGGCAAACTCAGAGTACCTCTCCCTGAGCTGCCAGCAGACAAAGCCCTGGGGATCTAAGTAATCTCTTTGGGGGTTACAGATACAAGAAAGAAAAGGAGCTAAAACAAGTTATAAGCCCTTTAAAATTGAAATGGGATGTTTATATGAAATAAACTCAACCAAAAATATATCAAAGTTATTTTTAAAAGAGAGGAAACCAGTTAGTCTATTTCACAACTTTCTTGTGGGAAGGAAAGAGTTAGTTTTATTGCTTAGCTTTGTGAGGTATAGGATGGTGTCATGATGACCCATAGTTCTCAGACACAGCCCTACTCCAACCATCCATGGAACAAGCTCCTGAGACTAGCATACCTCTGACACATGGAACCCAACCCTGACATAATGCTCCCTAGCATAATGATCTGATTGGCAGAGGCTGAGAGCAACTGATTGGCCCACTGGCTGTACTTAAGCCAGCATCAAGCACCAGAAACAGAACTACCAGTTTTCACCCTGATAAGGACTGTGTGTATCCTTGGTTTGATTTCCTGGCATCTGATCTGTGATTCCCAAATTCCAGTTTGCCATCTGGCCTGCCTGTGGTTCCCACTTTGTGGTTCAGATCCACACTTTGCTGCTTCTGCACTCCTGCAATCCTGACCCAGAGAAACTCTTCACTCCTGTTTTGCAGCCTCTGGTTCTGATTGTTTGGTCTGGCTGCCCAACATCCAGCCATGACAGAAGGTCACTTTCTCAGCTTCTGACAGACAGAAAAATATGTGAGAAGAAGAGACAGAATAGCAAAAGCGAGGAAATACGGGTTTTGTTGATATTTTTAAGGTTCCAGGTGGCAGGTCAGTCACAGATGGATGTGCTGGGTTGGCAGGTCAGCTGTGACAGCAGTGGCTCTGGCTCACCTCTCAATTTGGGGACTCTGGGAAATCATCTGGCTGTTCAGCTGTATAGAGCTTTGTAGGCTGTCTTGTCTCATTGTGCTGGTGTCATGTGGTAAGTTGAAACATGAAAGATAAACAGGGCAGGAGGGAAAATACTCAGAAAGGAACACGCAATGGAAAGGGAGACAGAGCAGGTTCCCTTGTGTCTTTGGCTGGAGACTTTGCTGGTCTGATGGCAATGGTCAGGTGTCCCTTCTGAGGT